CAAGCAGACTCATTTCAGTTTAGCATACGAAATATGAAGTCAAATGTAAGCAGGTTAATTAGACTAAATCGAACCAGGCCAAACAAACTTAACAATAAACATATTAGATGAAGCTAGTTCATATCGTATCAATTTATACAAATCAAATATGGCCAAACATGCTAAAAAAGTCCATAATAGTAGAATTCGCTCTAAATAGATAAATCCTATGGATATTTTCATATAGATTGACATCTCATGTATGATTTGGTTTGGTATAATCTATGCTCCGGTCTTTATTAGTCAAATTGAGTTTGAATAGGACTTTGTAAGCGCTCAAGTAGATTGACATCTCATGTATGATTTGGTTTGGTATAATCTATGCTCCGGTCTTTATTAGTCAAATTGAGTTTGAATAGGACTTTGTAAGCGCTCAAGTATGTTATGGCCTGATATAATATGTGTTTTACTGTTATTTAGTTCTGATTCGATCTAATCTTGTTTGGTCTAATCTTGTTAATTGGTTTGTCAATTTTGATCTGACGAGATAATTTTGAAGTATAACTAATACTAGTATATTTTTACCTCACAAATAAAATGGTCTTTAATTGCTTTTTCATAACGTGCAGTTTTGACAACCCGTCACTAACAGTATCAGCTGCAATTTTTGAACGTACTCCATATACTCTGGTATATATGTAACTTATTTGAATTCGTTGAAGTAGATGATAAAAAATGATCTGGAATACGGAGTATATTTTAGTCGAATTCAGCCAAATAATTTGAAACACTATTACTCCATTGACCTTATTTTTAGATTCTTTAAAGAATGATAAAAAAGACATTTGAATTCGTGCCTGACTCTTTTTTGAACATTAATAATTGTGAATAGAGTCGTGCTTGGATGGGAAAGGATCCCCTCTCCATTTATGTGTGAGATGGACTTTTCAATTAAGTGGATAACTCTTCTTTTAGTTCTTTACCTAATTTGCATTTATGATGGACCACCCTGCCAGCAGATATCTCTACATTTCTTCTTTTACCTATTTCTTCAATTTCTATATTTATTTCAGAAACTATGAAATGGTTGTGATTTTTTAGTTTTATTTCATCCCTTTAGTTCTTTTTTCTTCAAAAGAAAAACTTATACTACTTCGTACCAATTATAAATCGAGTCAAAAGGTTGTGCAGTCATATACTCTGTTAAAAAGTAGATATGAGTATTTGACATGATGATAATTCACTTTTACCCCACTCTAAAGTTAAAATTGAGCAATTCGATGTATCGTAAACTCGTAACTTACTTTAATCATATGATAACCACCCAGATTGAAGTAAAACTTTGTGGTACCATTATGCAATCACAAATATGTTAGGATCATAATCGATCACTGTTTTTTAAAGCGAGGCTATAAATTGACATCACCATATGATTCAACTCATGGAAAAGGATTATAATCCGAAAAAATTGTTCAGACTAAAACATAGTGATCTTATAATCAAATTAGGATTATATGTCTAACTGATAAATAGTCTATACCGGGATACCACTAGTGGTATCCAGAGAAAAGTCAGAGCAATAAGTCAAAGAGATGAAGTGTGATTGTAATTAATTCGTAATGGTCCGTTACAACCACCCAAAGGTTACTATTTATACTAGTCATAAATGCCATGTGCATTAAATGCACGTACACGTGTAAGCTAGTCTATGGTGGAGGGCCTCCCAACCAAGGGGGCACCGCATTAAATGCGGTGGTTGGCCATTTAGCAGAGAGAGACTTCTGTCTGGTGAAAGGTCCTTCGATGCCGAGGCCGAAGGCTGTCTGGACGAAGGCTGACCAAATTTCCCAGTGGTGCTATTGGACCAGCAGTAATCCTATCCTTGAGTTTGAGGCCTTCGACAATGGTGCCGAAGGCGTCTTCCAATGTAGTATGGGCTCAGTGTAGCTTGGACCGTTGTACCTGGGCCTGTCGGGCCTGTTTGGGGGTAGTAGAACTATGTGGGTCGAGGGTGCCTGGCCCATATACTCCATCACTAACTTTTTCTAAATCCAGTTAATCATTTCATTTCTACTCTTAATTTAATTAATTAATAAACATAATTAGGTGTTCTTAGTTTACGTGCACAAATCAAGGCTTGTGGCAGCGGATTCTGACGATAGTCTGACAATGACAATAGTTCGACTTTGCTACACAAGTGACGGCGATTTGGAAAAAAATCTCTGACAATGACAATAGTTCGACTTTGCTACACAAGTGACGACGATTTGGAAAAAAATCTGGCGGTCTCATGACCTAGGGACACTAGTCCTCCAACTTCATAAAAGTTTATCAATTAAATAATAATTGAGTTTTTTAAAATTCATACGGAGTATTAGTTAGATTGACAGTTTTCAATTATTCAATTACTATATCAACATATTTTATCTTTTAATGTTCCAAAAGGTTGAATCTCCACGCCCCGACCCAACAAGACTTTTGGGAGGATGTAAGTCACTGTGACTCAGCTGGCCCAATGGTGATAGACCTTGTACCCGTATGCATCAGAGGTTCAGCCCAATACGCAGGAGCTATAACCTCCACACATCCGTTGTGGATTTCGATCATTGGTCAATGTTCCAACTTTTCCATCATTCAATCAATCGAGTTACCCGTGCGGGTACATTTTATCTTTTAAACCCTTATTGATAGAACTCTGAATGGATAAAACTCCTAATTTAATGTGATTGTGATTTGTGAATTGTGAACATTCTAAATCCTCCAATTGTGCAACTTCTTTCTTTGAAAATGAACTGATCCAATCCCACCCAAAGGCCAAAGCTAGTGAATATTTATGATTTAAAGTTTTCTTTACTCTATTTTTTCATTTCTGTTAAATGTCAATATCTTTTGAGAGTGTCACAGTGATGTCATGAAACCACACAAAGTGTTTGACTACGATTTAAAGTTGTCAAGTCATTTTTATAAGAAAACAATCATCAGTTACGTTAGTTTCATTATTTAGAAATAAATATGTGCTCATATTATTTGTGTTTTTGTAATTTTGTAAAAATTGGCCGGTGTATGCCCATTTACCATTGCTAGTAAATAATAACAAATGGACTTTCGATTACTCATTTATACTAATACTCCGTATTTTAATTATATATATGTGCATATTGATTGAACGGTTGTTAAAGGGATTAATTACAGTTTGGTGGATTAAACAAAAACAAACATAAAACAAAACAAAAAAACAGTTTGGTGGAATCAAGTCATCAACCCGGACTGGAAGGTTTTCATTAAGGCTTTGCTCTTCAAAATTTTGGATTGGGAATCAAGCAGGAATCGCATATTGTCCATCCTTGCTCGTAAATTCTACTTCACAGGAATCAAGCAAAACGGTTCGTCATTTTTCAATCCTCACACAGTGCTGTGAATTAAAATTTAGACAATTTTAGGAATCAACTTTGAAAACGACATTTTTAGTATTCACTTTTGAATTATTGAAGTAATAATTGGATACTCGATTTTTAATTTTGTCACAATATCAAGAGCCCAAACGGTTGCTACAAGTATGATTATAAGGTGTTTTAGGTAAGTGTTTTGGTACTACTTTTTCCTGTTCAATTTAACCTCTACTCACACGGAAGTGGCATATACTAAGAATATATGAATGTCTTAGACACAAATAATTTTCCCTAAAATGTACTACCTATCTTACATTCTTAGATAGTTAGATGTCCGTCTTGTCCGATGGTCCCTTTTGAGAGCTTACTCATAATCTTAAAACTAATACTCCCTATATTGGTATGTTTGGCAAATGGCTATTAGCTGTTGTTGTTACCTGGTTGTGTCAGCTGTTTCCTAACAGCTGGTTGTGTTAGCTGTTTTGACCGGTTGGTTATGTTAGCTGATTATAGATAATTGTTTGGTAAAATTGGTTGTTTCGAAATGGCTGATAGAGTGTAAATTGAACCAGCCGAATGAATAAGTTGCCCCCTTAGCTTCTTCAACAATCCATTTTTTCAGCTTTTCAAACTTAACAAGCTAATTTTAAAAGCCATTTACCAAACATCATTATTAGCTTCTTTGACCAATCAAACAGCTGAAATGGGTCAAACAAGCTAAAAGCCGGCTGATAAGCCATTTGCCAAACATACCCATTATCATTGAAGCATTCCTTTTCTTTTTACTAACTAACCAAAATGAATTACTAATTTACTAGTTCGAGCAAAAAATTACTAACACTTCATTAATAATTTAAATGAAGATGGAGATGTTATAGCTAACCACTGAAGTACATTTAAATTTTGCGCTTATGTGGCTAGTCAAGCTATGTGAGTTATTAGCTAACCGTTGAAGTGCTCATGTATACTCAAACAATTATGTTTGAACTAGACTTAAATAAACTAGACTATGCTTTTACTTGGACTGTAATTTGCTTGTCTGATCTGATTTGATCTATTTAAGTCTTGTCTAGTAAACATTTGGTCTCTGGGTTTGTCTGGTCTGATCTACTCTGTTTAAATCTGGTCTGGTCAATTTAAGTCTGGTCTCGGACCAAAAACAGTCCACGTAAAAGCATCCAAACACAAATATTGATAAAATACATATAATAACAAACCTTATCAAAAAAGTTAAGGCCAAACTTATATACACCCATTGGAAACATCCTCAGTTTTTGGTTTTAAAAAAAAACTTATTTTCCCAAACACTACAATTTTTATTTTTCTCGGCTTCCGCGTCAAAAGTGCTTTTACTTTTTCTATTACACAAAAAGCACTTATTTTACCAAACACTACCCACTTTTACTTTTCAAAATCACTTTTTTCTCAAACACTATCAATTTTTATTTAATCACTTCTCTCCATTTCATTAAAAAAAGCACTTTTTTAAAAGCAGAAGTCGTTGCAAACAGACCCTTAAGGTGAGAAGAAAAGCGTGAAGATTCAAAGGCAAATACTATGCATAAAAAAATCACTAACACTCATTAAAATGGAAAAGAATCTCATTCAACACAATTATAGAAAAACGATCACCGCCCTTCTAAAAAGAATATCATCCAAAAATATTGGGAGCTTCTTCAACTTCTTTTGTAAATAGCCATTGATGAGTTAAATCGTGTAACATTAATTACAAGTCATTACCAGTTCTTTATACGGAGTATATTTCTAGCCGAATCACAACAATGTCACATTATAAACTTGGATACCTTGGGCATTCGAAGAAAAGGAGGGATAGGATAAATCTTAATGCCAAACCATATATTGCACCACCCATTTCAAAATTGCAGAGTAAAAAATTGCAGAGTAAAGTATAAGCACTCGTATTGAAGAAAAAAGAATGATACTATAACCCAATTTACCGATTTAGAAAGTGTGAAAATCACAGTAACACCATGTATTTTTAAGAAGAGAATACTGAAACCTGTGGATATAGAATTAGAGTGTGTGGAGAGGAGAGTTTGACTAGAAAATGTCAAGAACTTCTGAGATAGAATTGTTGCAGAGAGGGCAACTTCCCCTTTGAACCCAGAGCTCCCTAGAGCACCGCCGGCAAAATGTGTGTCCACAGGGTATAAACGCCGCACCCTTGTGTCTAACCATGCACACGCAACAACGGTCTACAATTAACTTGCCACCGCCGGCAATCTCCTCTCCGGCTTCTCCATCTTCTTCTTCCGCTATGCCAGCTGCACTGTCCATGCTCATTTCCCTGTCAGTCTCTGCAAGCAACGCCATAAGTGAGAGTCTTGCCGGTTGGTCCTCCGTGGTGCTTTCGCCTGGTAAATTGCCGTCGGAAGCCTCTGCCACCTCGAATCTCGAGGTCCTGTCACCCACAGCCCGACTAGAGCTCCTCTGCAGCATCACAATCAGAGTGGTTGACCCCGGCGATGTCGTCACTTCCGGCTGAATCAATCCGCGCCTCGGGGTCTCCCCCTCGGGGGAATTATTCGCAGGAGAAACCCGCGCGGGATGGGACGTCTGCCGTCGAGGTGTATCGGCGGCAAGTGCGGCGGCGGGGAACGAATCGTCGTCGGCAGAGGACCAGGCGGACCCATGGATCCTTAAACAGAGCCTATCTGTGATGTGTTTCCATGTCTTCCGGCTCGCCTTGCTCGCGAACGGCTCAGCCCGTATGATATCGAGGAGAGTCCGGTGCGGTAGCGCGGCCGTACTCGATCTAGGCTCTCTATCCAAAACAGCGCCTAGGGTTAAACCGGTCAAATTGCTACTTCCGCCATTACGGCTGCTCGCCTGTTTCACTCTGAGAAAGTCTCCCAGGTTTGGGGAATCGGGCTTGTATTCCGCCGTATGGATCCTTCTCCGGCTAAATCCACCGCCACTGGTCTCCATTAGCGACTACAATATTCGATACTAATCCAGAAAACAATCACCGGAGGAGCGAGCACCAAAATCTTCCTAAAATGAAAAAGAGGAAAAGGACTGTTACATCACTCGATTCACCTGAGATTCAAAAATAACAAAATGCGGACTACAAAATAGCACAATTCGTGAAATGTTCACGAGAAATTGAACTTTCTACTCGGAACTACAGGATCGGATGCAATGTTTGAACAATCCAATAAAATATACAACAAATTTAAACAGCTCGAGAGATATTATACGGTAATTGAACAATCCATCAAATCTAAACAAAAACAAAATGTAAAAGAGCGGCGGAGAGATCTACGATGCAAATATTGAATTCCGAAGTTTGAAACATTCAACGCAAATGCAAGTTTTTGATCTTAATCCGAAATAACATAAACAGTAAGAGCAGAGTATAAGGTAGAAGAGGAGTACAGGTGAAGGCGAAGGATTCGGTTTGCGGCAAAGCCATCAAATCTGAGATCGGAAGAGATTGAACGAAACCACTTGGGGAAACTTTTTCTTGTGAAAGACTTGTAGAGAGAAAAAATTAATACCCCATATTCAAAAAATAAACATATTATTACTAATAATAATTTTCCAGAAATAGGAAAAAGCAGACGAATACGGACGAAGGAGACCGACGATTGAGAGGAAAAGTATACCTTTTTGTCTCTCTCTAACTCTCTTCTCCCGAGTCCTCCAGTCATCCACAGTGCCCCATTTTTCTGTTCGTTTTCGGTGCTTATTCCTTTTTTTATTTTCTAATAATGACAAAATTAATATACTCAAGAAATCCCTTTTTTTTAATTTTATGATGGTAATTCTAGTCCTTTAAAAAAATGGTGGTAGTTCTAGTATTTATAGTTTTATGTAGTTTTGCAATTAATGATTATGAATTTTAAAATATTACTGGAAATACTTGGAATTTCACTAGATATGAAAACGGTTAGAATGTTATACTACTTACTACTACGTACTCCCTCCGGTTCTAAATAAACTTCTCACTTTCCTTTTTGGGACGGTCCAAAATAAACTTCACACTTCCTTATTTCCTTATTTGGCAAAGAAATCTACACCAAAACAGTGCCAAACAGTGCCAAACAGTGTCTCAACAGTGCCAAACAGTGTCTCAACAGTGCCAAACAGTGCCAAACAGTGTCTCAACAGTGTACTCTACAGTAAAGTCAACTTTATTTCCTTAATAACTGTGAAGTCAAACACTGAAGTTTAAAAAGAACCGGAGGGCGCTCCCTCCGGTTCTTTTTAAACTTCAGTGTTTGACTTCACAGTTATTAAGGAAATAAAGTTGACTTTACTGTAGAGTACACTGTTGAGACACTGTTTGGCACTGTTTGGCACTGTTGAGACACTGTTTGGCACTGTTGAGACACTGTTTGGCACTGTTTGGCACTGTTTTGGTGTAGATTTCTTTGCCAAATAAGGAAATAAGGAAGTGTGAAGTTTATTTTGGACCGTCCCAAAAAGGAAAGTGAGAAGTTTATTTAGAACCGGAGGAGTATTTATTTATCTTTCAATAGACATTTGATAATTTTATTCGTTTAATAGCTTTTCCAAATGAGATGAACGCCATTATTATAGTGTGAAGGTAAAGGATTTTGCTTATTCTATATTGTTTTGCTTGTGGGGCTAGATTTCTTGAACAAAGTTATACAAGGTTTTTTTTGTATATTTTTTGAAGATTCGGAGATTATTTGTTTATTCTCTATGATATCTTACTCCGAAAGCTTTGTACCTATTTACTCCTTGCTTTGATAATAAGATTTAGTATTACTCTTCTTCTTGGTCTAAGATTCATTATCCTGAACAAGAAAACTTTGTTAAGGACTTGAACTTACTCAAAAATGATTTGTGTGTAGGATTAATAGAGGTTAATGAGAAGAAAGAATGTAGAATATAGGCAATTATTGAAGAAATACCACTTCAAATAATTTTTCCTTATTACTCCTTCTGGTGACCCACTTACAGTCATTGTTCTAAAACTTGCAAGAAGCTAATCGGGTGATTGAGGGGCGTTTAGAGCCTGGGCGGCCGACTAGACTATTTTTTTGGCCAACTAGCCCGACTAGGCCTCTACGGTTAGGGCCGCCTAGACCGATTAATCGGTCTGCCTAGGCCGATATTTAGAATAGTGCTTGCAGCTATTGTTGAAGCTATTTACACATCACTTATAGAGAACATGAACGATATTTCTTTTTTTTTTTTCAGCATAGGGCTGTATTGACACCAAGGAATGATGTTGTTGACGTTATTATAAATAATTATATGATGTCATTGCTTCCCGGTGAAATGAAGACATATTTGAGTTTTTATACTCTGTGCTACCTTATCGGGAATCAAGGCTCACCAGACGATGTGCATACTCCCGAGTTCTTGAATACCATCAATGCATCTAGTTTGCCAAATCACCAATTGAATTTAAAGACTGGTGTCCTTGTTATGCTTGTTCGAAATATTGACCAGTCTTCAGGGTTATGTAATGACACTTGCCTTATAATCACATAGATGGGTAATCATGTATTGGAGGGGAAGATAATTTCTGGAAGCAACATTGGGGAAAAGGTCTTCATTCCACGATTATCATTGGTTCTATCTGAGACGAGGATACCTTTCAAGTTCCAGCGTAGGCAATTTCCGGTCATCGTTTCTTTTGCCATGACCATAAATAAAAGTCAGGGTCAATCGTTGAAGCATGTGGGGATCTATCTTCCTGAACCAGTTTTCTCACACGACCAGTTGTATATGTGGCTTTGTCTAGAGTCACATCAAGAAGGGGTTTAAAGATTCTACTATGCAATGACAAAGGGGAGCAAGTGACATCAACGGATAATGTTGTTTATAAAGAAGTGTTCCAAATTTTATCTTAGGTGATTTATAAACAAATAAATACATTTTTTACATACTTGCTATATAATTTATATCTTCAGTAGTTAATTTTATTCTTACAACATGTCAACTATTGTAATACATGTAGGCATGTTGCGTGTTGTTCACATCGCTACACAACATCATTGAAGCACATACTTTGGGCATCATGGTTAAATTGTTACTATTTAATCAATTTTTTTATAAAGTAGAAAATTATAATTTTTTATCCATAACGTGATCATTGATTGGTTTACTAACACTAAGTATGAAATGAGTATGTAAAAAATATTTAATCAATCACTTTTTTATCTCATTAATGTGTATTGAGTATTCCCATGCAACACACGGGTACATCGTCTAGTTATTACGGTGTGAAGGTAAAGAATTTAATTTTCTTATTCTATATTGTTTTGCTTCTGGGGCTAGATCTCTTGAACAAAGTTATAAAGGGGTATTTTGCATATTTTTTGAGGATTCGGATATTATTTGTTTATTCTCTATAATATCTTACTCTGAAAGCTTTGTATCTATTTACTCCTTGCTTTTATAAGAAGATTTAGTCAACATTGATTACTTTTCTTCTTGGTCTAAGATTCCTTCTCCTGAACAAGAAAACTTTGTTAAGGACTTGATCTTACTAAAAATGATTCAAGTGTGTAGGATTAATAGAGGTTAATGAGGAGAAAGAATGTACAATATAGGCAGCTATTGAAGAAATACCACTTCAAATAATTTTTCCGAGTTGCGGGATATTGCGGATTCAATTTTTTCCGAGAATGAAGAATATCACTTTTGTCCAGGGACAACTAACCGACAAAGGTTACTTGATCGTTTATCTAATTTGGTTGTTAGTTTTATCAACTAGGGGTGGGAAAAACCGAACCGGGACCTGAAAACCGACCCTGGACTGAACTGAGTAAAAAGAACCTGGACTAAACTGAGTAAAAAGAACCTGGACTGAACTGAGTAAAAAGAACCTGGACTGAACTGAGTAAAAAGAACCTGGGCCGAACCCGGATCGAACCCACAAATTCGGGCTCATAAACGGGCCCTAAAATCTATAACCTGGCCCGGACCGGTAAAAACCCCAAACAATTAACTTTAATATAAAATCAATGAAATATATGAATCTATTTTATAAATAATTCCTAATACGAAGTATATGATTATGATTGTGGCGGATGAAAAAAATGAGTTAATAACTTTTAGTGACTGCAAATATGATCAATTTTGGACCGTAATGACCATGAAAATATATGTTTACTAATTTTAGTCACATTTTTATTTATAAAATTTATGTAGTAATATTTTTAACAAAAATATTATTTGTTAATTTGCATCTTAAACAAAATATTTAAGGTAATTATCCTCTTTAGATTTGATTTGTTAGTGATTTTGGAGATTAATATTTGTCTTATTGTTTACCGTTTGTATTTTTTATTAAATTTATTTGAAAATAGGTTTTAAAATACAAAAGGACAATGAAATGATTTCACGTCGGGGCTTTAACCAGCCCAAACCGAACCCAAATCGAATCCGGGCTACCAAAAACCCGATTCTGACCGAATATAATGAGCTTTGTCCTGGTTCCTAATTTTCATAACCCGAGACCTTACAGGTAATTTTCATGTCTAGCAAAAACCCGACCCAGATCGGGCCAATACCACCCCTATTATCAACTATGGGCTTGAACCAAGGAAAAATGTTTGTGTAAAAGTAAAACAAGCAATTGAGTCACAGGATGATTATATTATGAACTTCTTGTATTTTACAAGGGAAATTCGAAGCCTTTTGAAAAATTGAATTGTTTGAATTTCTTTTTTGCATTTGCCAAGATAGGAGATGACGACATTTTGCTTGGATTTTCATGAGATTATTTTGTGACATCAATCACACTATTTTTCTGAAGTATTTATAATATGTGTTTAGCCCTTGCAAATATAACACATTTTCTTTTACATCCCTCCAAAATTACTTTTGCTTTTCCATCCCTGCAATTTAGGTTGGTTTTCATTTTAATCCATCACTAATGATAACAATCTCCGTTTGACCTCAAAATAACCCCGATTAATAGATAGATCTCCTCTAATTCTTTGTCATGTTATTAAAAAAGTATTTAATTTTATTTTTTAGAAGGGTTTTAATATATATTTTTAAAATGTGAATACTTAGTTTTACACTGTTTTGAATCTCATATTGACCTAAAAAAGTGATAAAATGAAGAGTTTAAATATATCTAATAGATTTATGTAACTGACAATAATTTTTTTTGTAAGTAGAGTGGTTTCAGAATCCGAGATAGACTACAAACAAAATAGTGCATATTGAAGGGATGAAAAACAAGAAAAATAGTTTGTAGGGACTTAAAACAAATTGTGTCATATTTGCAGGGACTAAAAACGTATTTAAACCTTTTAAATATTAGGAAAAAAAAATTTGAACATGTTTGAAAATATTTTGCAATTTGTGTGAATTTTTGAAAGTACTCCGTAATTATTAAATTCCCAAAATTAAGTATTCTTTGGTATTACCTATAAATACCAAAATTTTATAATTTCGTGACATTAATCACAACATATTCCTCAAGTCTTTAATTTAATAAAGGGAAAAGTATCAAATTAGCCCCCGTACTATACCGAAAAAGTCGGTTAGGCCCTCGTACTTTACAAACACTCAATTAAGCTCTCCAACTATTAAAAAACGTTCAATTAAGCCCTTTCGGTCGGTAAGTAACCGGTTTCCCGGTTAAATGTAACTCGTTTCCCGGCAGCCGCCATTGCTGGGGTTCGAGCACATCATCGCCGCCGTCACTGTTTAACCGGGAAACCAGTTACTTACCGACAGAAAGGGCTTAATTAAACATTTTTTAATAGTTCGAGGACTTAATTGAGTGTTTGTAAAGTACGAGGGCCTAATCGACTTTTTCGGCATAGTACGGGAGCTTATTTGATAGTTTTCCCTTTAATAAATTGCATTTATTTTTACCCTAAAATAGACATCATTATTTGTTTTTGTTTTTACTCCGGGGGCCAAATTAAGACCCATTTGGTAACACTGAAATGAAATTTATGAAGCTCTGGTTGAAGTGGCTGTATTGGCTGATTCTGCATATTTTTGAAAAAAAGATAATTAAAATATATTTTATTAATAAAAAAAATTATAAGACAAAATAACTAAAATAGTCATCTACAATAACTTCAGCCAATACAACAAAAAAATAATTATAACCTTACTTTTTGTTATTCTTACATAATTCAGCGCGCATAATCAAAAGTTATGTGGTTAATTAAAAGTTGGTTTGATGGATAGTGTACCCGGGGGGTAACCTGTCCGAAGGATACCATGAGGGATATCTAGATAGAAGTCGGAGCAATAAGTAAGAGAGAGAGTCAGAATGTATTAAATGAACTCGATGTGTTTATAGAGGGAAGGGATGCGCTATTTATAACAGCCATAAATGCTAGGCGCATTAAATGCGAGTACATGTGTCAAGTAATCAATGGTGGAGGGTCACTCCAACCGCGCTGGCGCCAGCATCGCATGTGGCACCGCATTAAATGCGGTGGTTGGACGTGACACTGCATTCAATGCGGTGGTTGCCTATCCTCAGAAGGAAGCTTCGTTAAGTGGAGACCCTTCGGCATAGGTGCCGAAGGCATCCTTAGGCCGAAGGCCTAATTTTGTAGCCAAAATCTTCCCGTAGTGTTGTGGGTCCAAGAGCAAGCGTCTTCACAGAGTTTCATGCCTTCGACAGGGGGGCGAAGGCAGCTATGTATGCGTTATGGGCTCCTTTGAGGTTGGGTCGCCGTATGTGGGCTTATTGGGCTCACTGGGCTTATTGGGCCTGTTCATGTGTAGTAGGAGTATATGGGCCGGGGGTCTCTGGACCATATGCTCCATCATGATTGATAAGCATGATAAGTCGAAAAACTGAGTCACTAAAAGCTTGGAATTTGCCTTCTTATAACTTTGACTTTTTTTCTAATGTGGATGTATATGATTGATGAGAAATTATCTTGTCTGGCGCGCCTGACAGGAACCTCCGCGCGGACTTGCCCGTTTGAGGGTCTTATCGGTAATTTTTTTTTAGCATAATCCACATCAAGTCTAGTTTATCCATACCGAATTTTAGATCAAAATTCGATCGGAAAAGCATTCAAATAAATTTGTGAAACATATGGCGCATTCTGCACACATATAATGCACAGTATGTTTTAAGAATTTATTTTAGTGCCTCCCCGATTGAATTTTGAACTGAAATTTGGCATGGATAAACTAGATTTGATGGATAACATGCTCACAAAATTTTATCAAACAAATTCCATCAGGAAGGCACCCAAACGGACAAGCCCGCACGGCTTTGCCCATCAGGCGCCTGACCAGAATTGTACTCTATGGTTGATTAGTCCATAAATAATACTCTCTTCCTCTAACTATTATTGTCTGAGTTCCTATTCACAATGTTAACACAAACCATTAATCTTCTACTTTATATATCAATTTTTTAATCAATTTTGATTCTGATTTTTGCGACTTTGTAAAACTATTAATGTGATTTCTGAATATGTAATTTTCTCCCTTTCTAAAAATAGTTTGAATGCAAATAGTGATTCGTATGCTTTGTCATCTGACTCGTCTGTCAAGTATCTTAATCCGTAATTGGACCATAATAGTGGGACAAAGGAAGTACGTAGTACTTCCTCTGTTTGGATATAAGTGCAACATGCACTTCGGCACAAAGATTAAGAAACCAGGTGAAGGAGTTGAACTTCACTATTTTACCCTTCTACCGTTCTACGTAAGAAAGTAGCAACCACACAAATAAAGTGTTAGTGTCTAAAAGGAGTAGTAGATAAAATTATTACAACCAAGAAATAAAACAGCGAGCCTTGGTGTACTGCTCAGTTGCGAAAGACGAAGACCCTAAATTCCGGTGAGCGACTTTTATCTGGAGGCCGCAACAGTCTGCGCCGCCAACAGTCCTCCTCCCATGGCTTGAAGCCAGCTCAACACCCCCTCTTCCGCTTCCGCCAATCGTCATCCCACGCAGACAATTACTGCAATGATCCAGAGCCGCAACAGTCCGCCGCCTAGAGGCCACAATTAACGTCGTGTCTCTGCTTGTGGGTGAGTGACCGGAACAAAATCAGTCCATGTCTTCCGTTCCGACCATAATTAAAATACAAATAAGAGAAAATAAAAACAAATGAGGAAAATGATGGGAAAGAAATGGAGAATTGGTATCTTGGTGAAGAGAGACGCACAAGGTACACAAACAAACGAGCTAGAAGGATGGAGAAATAATTAAAGAAAAAGTAAAAAAGTAGAAAAGGAACGGTTGTACATAGTGAAGGGTATAGAAGTCAATTGACTTAGTATTTCTTTCCAAAAATAGAAAGGTTGCATTTAATTTAAAACTGACGAAAATGGAAAGTGTTGCACTTGTCAAAGAACAAGAAAATTATAATACAGCGCAGTGGTCCAAAAACAAGTGGGAGTATTCTTATTTTTCAGTCCAAACTAGCATTTTTATCCAGCCCGGCCTAACAATAACAAAAGCCCGAGTAACTGAGTCATCTATGGACACCGAGACTTCCGGTCGTCACTTTTCAGCGGTCAGCCGATAAAGGAGCATCCAATCGCCAAGTCGCTGCCCGCCGACCGCCATATCGCCGATGCTTAGCCGCTTGCCGTCTGCCTCTGTGAGCTCCGACCTGCCTACTGTGTACAACGTTCCAGCTAATCGAGTAATCGACTAATCGGCCCTTCTCACCTTCTCAGTCTTGTACTCTTCTGTGGCTTCAGGTATCAGTGTATCACGCCTTCACCGCTACAGCCTTTAGGTACAAAGGTACTCCCCCAGACTCCATTCCCGCGACCTCCTTATTCGGTTATTCCTTAACTGCTCAAGTCTCTTAGAGTTGTACAATTTTCTTTAATTGATTAATATGATCGATTATTTGATTAGTTCATTAGTTAATGCAATTCATAGGTATTTTAATATTTATAAATGAATATTGAATGCTTGATAATAATTAGTTGATTTGTTGGCCGTTGTCCTGTTGATGACATATATATGGAAGTAATTAAAGTTTATGTCAAAAGAGTATTGAAAGAAGTATAGATTTCTCCTAAATTCTCCAATATTCATTTTAATTTAATACAAAATTTACAATAAGGTAAATCTGTTTTATAATTTTATATTTTGCTAAATAAGTTCTAGTTACGAAATAAACAAAATGACTGTTTAAGAAATCCAAGTTCTTAGCTTAGAATTAGTTTATTTTTAATTACAATTTGTTGAAGTGCAGTTTTCAATGTCAAATTGCTCAAAGTGCACATTTTTTATCAATCACTAAAATAGTCCTCAACTTACTTACTCTGATAGGGTTGACAATGCATCTGAAACTGAAGCAATTAAAACTTTGTGCTTAAATACTCCCTCCGTATTTGAAAGCTCTCTAGAATAGGTTTCGGCACACAATTTAAGGGTGAAATAGTAGGGGTAATGAACAATGTAGAAAAAATAGGAGTGAATGTGGAAAAGTATGAAACAACAGATAAAAACTTGAAAAAGTAAGGATAATTGAGTATTTTTTAAGGAAAAACTTACCAAAAGAGATAAGTGTACCAAAACTTTACATACATCCAGAAAAGGAAGGTGTATCAAACTTTAAAATACGGAGGGATTATATAATTGAAATAGAAATATTTGTTTTTCAAAAGATGATGCGGCTATCAACCACAAAACCTGGTTTTTTTCGAGATGATTTTTATGCTTCAAATACTTACCTTATTAATCTTCAAAGGTGCAGCAATATATTCTGGCCCATTTTAATTTTCAACTCAATGGACTACAATTGTTTAAACATTCAAGCGAATTTACTTATAGAGATGACACAGTACCTTAAAATGTTTGAAGCTAAAGATTAGTCTTACCTATTGTAGGCTTTTAGCTAATGGAACATCTAACAATCCATATTATTGTGAAGCAGCTCTTGCTTGAATAGGATTTTTTTTTCTTTTGCGAAGGGCGAACATGGCACTAATGGAACATCTAAGGGATGATAGATACGCGGAGTATAAATTTACAGGCAAAACTTGGAATCTGAAGATGCAAGTTTTATCAAGCAATTTTAAAATTGGGACTTGAAAAGCCACGACACATGCTTAGCGGCATCAAATTGGTCAGGCAAATACTTTTGGAATTCGAAAAGTCCCAATTGACAGCTCATTTATTATTATATCTATTTTTTTGAATATTTACATAATCATAAACAAAAAAACTATTTGTACCCACTCTTATACCCACTTTTGTACCCACCATGTCTGTGAGGAGTTTTTTTTTGTCTGTGAATCTGGGTCACAGACAAAATATGTCTATGCAAATCATTTTGTCTGTGAATCAGATTCACAGATAAAAAAACTCCTCACAAACATGGTGAGTATAAAAGTGTGTACAATAAGAAGCTCTCAATCATAAATGCTTGTCTCTTTTTATGGTCTGCCCTAGAGCTTCTCACGTGAGTCACTTCACTACTTTTTACAAAATTATCCCCAAATTGCTATAGTGTTCCCACCCAAATTCCCTCCCACGATTTTGTTACTCCGTATTACTCCCTCCGTCCCATTTAAATCTTTACACTTTCCTTTTTGGGACGTCTCATTTACATCTTTACGTTTCCCTCTTTGACAACTTATTTTACTTGATTTGCCATAACTACCCTTCACTATACTACCCATCCACGTTTTACAATTCATAGTTTTCATTGGACAACATTGATGCACCCACTATCATCGCAACACTTACTTACAGGCCCATAGCTACGGCCAAAGTTTGAATCGAAGAATTCTGCTTTCAGAATTAGATTTACAATGAGCCTCTCAACTCATTCATAAGATAGATTCTCCAATCACATGCGCCTGTTTATCCCTGCCCGGAGAAAGAAGCCTTCATCTGCTTGGAGATAAAAGCCGGCGTTAATGGTGTTGCTGCCGCCATGAATGCGGCCGTTGGCGTTCCGGACGCCTTCTCCGGAGTTGAAGGCCTGGACAGGGAAATCAAAGGCATCGAGCTCTACAAGGGCTGTTAGATTCCTTTCTGTCCTTTCTTAAGTCCTCAAATCCGGATTTTCGTAGGGAATCCAAAACTCCGATTTGTCCCTTTGTAGCTTGTTTGCCAATTGGGAATTTGCGTGTCGATTGCAGCTTCCCTCCTTTACTATTGCTCTTTGGGAGATGAAGTAGAATCGGTAAAGAACGGTGGAAGTAGAATCGGTAAAGGCAAAGGGTATAAATGATATTTGCTCTTCAATTAATTGATCTCCTAAAAAACCATTCCAAAAGCAAATGTAAAGATGTATCCGGGACGGAGGGAGTATATACTACCTCCGTCCCAAAAAACTTGTCATTTCCAAAAATTTGATCCTTAATTTGGATTAGTATAATATTATGTAAGTTATAAATTTTATACTTTTACGAAAGTATTTTTAACAAAGAACATTTCCATATAACTTTTATATTATAAATCATTTTCAATAAAAAGATATAGCCGGTCAAAGTTTTGAAAATGACAAAGTTTTTTGGGACGGAGGTAGTAGTGTATAGATATAGATTCTGATTATTTCTTGTCGATTTTTGCTTTATAAATGTTTGTTCGAAGAACTTCAACTACTTTGGGTTTTTGTATTTCTGTGATTGTATATTTAAAAAAAAGTTGTCTTACAACCAGACTTTATACTTCGAATTTCATAGTGTACAAGTTCATTTATAACATCGCTCACAAATAACAACTTTTTCTAGGTTTGTAATGGAGATGGCTGGTTCCTTAGACAATCGAGCTTTTCATTGTTGAAGCGGCAGAGTCATGGCGTCCTTTTCGGGACCCTCTAACCCATTTCCGTTAGTGCTCAATAGTCAACCTGGAAATCACCCGGTAACCCACTTGGCTGCACCTATTCCCGCATTGATACACAATAGAAACCCATCAGTAGCCAATCAACGAGATGCAGGGGACAGGGTGGTTCCCCAAAGAAGAACCGGCATCACCAGAACAGTGGAGGAAGATGCCAGAGGGAAAGATGAAGTCAACAGGAAGGTAGCTTCACAGAAAGCAATTTCCATAATTATGAGGAGAGAGGCCATGAAAGCAGTAATCGAGAAGAAAAAGGGCAGCTCCAAGAAGCTACTTCCCAACGACATTCTCGAAGCTCTTCACGAACGCATCACTGCTTTGCGCTGGGAATCCGCTCTTAAGGTCTCTCTTTCTCTCGTTCTGTCCCCCCACCCCCAACTACGATTTGAAACTTTTATATGAACATTTGTATTACAAACTATATCCACTGTCACTTTCAATTTTGCTAGCAATATAAATAAATGTTAATGAACTACGAAATAGAATTCATATAGGTCACCAGTCTGACCCCAAGTTCTTTAAGCTTTAGCTTACTTCAGTTTAAAATTAATTTAGTCTTTCTGAACTCTAAGGCTCTATTTGGAAATTGGGAAACCTGGAAAAGAATATAGGGTGGGAAGTGTATGAGAAATTCAAAGGAAAGAATATGTGGAGGAATGATAAAAACATAGGTCCCAACTCATTAAATATATTTTTCATATTTGCTCAATTTCATCTTTTCATTTACTTGTATAAACAATCACTAAGAAATCTAAACACGTGTAAAAACTATATTTCATTTTCCTTTTTATTTTCTGAGGTAAAACCAAACATGACCAAATAACTTTCTTTAGCATTTCCTTTCATTTTCCTAGGATTTTCTAGGGGGTAAATAACCCAAGGCAAATGAAATTATAGAATATGTCATGCAATTTCTAGAGATTAATCCCATGTGCATGAAAATGAAATTCAAATGAAATACCCTTTTAACTCTTTTGATTAAAGGGTATTGAGAAACCGAAAATTCCTATGTTTAGCTACTGAAAACACCATGTCTCTACTTACAGATCTTTGAACTCCTTCGCGAGCAGCTATGGTACAAGCCGAATGCTGGTGTGTATATCAAACTAATTGTAATGCTTGGAAAATGTAAGCAACCTGAGAAAGCTCAATCCTTGTTTCAGATGATGATTGATGAAGGCTGTGTTGTGAATCAAGAAGCTTATACTGCTCTATTGTCTGCATACAGCCGTACTGCCCTTTTCAATGATGCTTTTTCACTCCTTGAAGAGATGAAGAGCACTCCTAATTGTCAACCTGATGTCTTCACATATACCGTTCTCATAAAATCGTACCTGCATGTTTATGACTTTGGTAAAGTAAGAGTTCTCCTTTCGGAAATGGAGAATGAGGGGATCAAGCCCAATACAGTTACATATAATATTCTCATTGATGCTTACGGCAGAGCAAAAAGGTATGTGTCATGTTATAAAACCATGAGAACATTTGATGCCAATTCCCCTTATGCCCATCTTTTCTAGCCTCATTCTCAACTAAAGTATTTCTAATAGCTCCAACAAGATGTCCTTCATCTGTTTCTAAAATAACTGTCCATTAAAGAATAATTATAATATGTAATGTAAAATGTAAAAGTTAGTTCAGTCATGAATTAGTGAAGACGCTCCTACATTCCTACTGGTATCTAATTTGTAGGTACTCCATCTGTCTGACAAAGTTAGTCTTGTGTTTCAAATTGATGCATCCCACCAAAATCGTCTGATTTCTTCAGTAGTTATCTTCTAATTTCCCTTTCCCAAGTCTATCTCTATTTGAATATTCGTATTCAGCGTCCCAGCTCCCACGAGAGAAGTAATTTACTAATTGCATATGATAATAATGGCTGCGTCACACTTAACTGCCATTTCACAATGTGAAACAAATATGGGAGGTAACGAAGGGATTTGCTTTTGACTAAATACATTTAAGCACGACTTTAACTGAATTGAAACACAGCTTGTTTGCGCGGTGCGCAACTAGTCAGACATTTAGTCATCCAAAAATGGTCATCTTATCCAATTTAGACTCTTTGGTCAATGCACAAAGCAAACAACCCCTCACACAAAGACCACTTAGTCCAGACAACCATCTCAACACAGACAGACATCTTAGTACTCAGTTTAGTTTTTATTGGGTTGCCAAAGGATAATTATTTAAGAACAAAATCTATTAGTCAATCAACTTTTTTGTGGACAAAGGATTATTAATCAAGGGTAGTTTAGCCGTTTTGCTGGACCACTACTGTGAAAAGGAGGAAGTTCCTATTTTGCCATGGTCATGCCCTGTAAGTTGTGAGAATAGATTGTTCCAATAAAATGGAAAAACGGCGATTGTATTTTGCAAGTAGAATTTTGGGATTTAGGTATTGACACAAATTTTATTTACTAAAGGTTCGCTGAGATGGAATCTGTACTTGTGAAAATGCTTCAGAGGAGAGACTGTTCTCCAGATGAGTGGACCATGAACTCTTCATTGAGAGCATACGGTGGTAGCGGGCAGATAGAAATGATGGAGAGCTGCTATGAAAAGTTCCAATGTGCTGGGATTGAACCCACTATCAAGACTTTCAACATCCTTTTAGATTCATATGGAAAAACTGGAAATTATGACAAAATGAGTTCTGTTATGGAATACATGCAGAAGTACCATTTCTCATGGACTAGAGTTACCTATAATATCATAATAGATGCATTTGGGAGGGCCGGAGATTTGAAACAGATGGAATTTCTTTTCCGGCTTATGCAGTCCGAGAGGATCAAACCAGACAGGGTCACACTTTGTTCGCTGGTTCGAGCGTATGGGCAAGCCGGGAATGCTGAAAAAATTGGAGGTGTTCTGAAATTTGCTGATAATGCAGAAATTACACTGGACACTGTTTTTTTTAACTGCCTGATGGATGCATATGGGATGATGGAATGCTTCGCGGAGATGAAAGAAGTGCTTGAACTTATGCAGAGCAAAGGATGTAAGCCTGATAGAGTAACATATAGAACCATGATTAAAGCGTACTCGATTGGTGGGATGACTAGTAAAGCGAAGGAGTTCAAGAACCAACTTGCGTCATTGGAAGAGAATCAACCCGGCCAGAAAATGTTCAAAGTAAAGTAAGGCTTTTCACATAATTGACATGGCCTTTTGCTTGTACATTCTTTACACTCTTCATGTTTTGTTATCAACTCTGGCATCATTTCCTCGATTGTTATATTCCAAACTCTTCTAGTGTAAATAAACTCTTCCAGGAACTCGAGTTTATCAGTTAACCAACAAATTGTCTCGGCCACTGTTTGAATTGACTTTTAAGTCTATAAGAAACAATGGGCTCGTTTGGATTTTGGCGTTTCAGCCTCCTACCCGCTGCAATTTGCAGCAATTTGCAGCGTTTCAAATGCTATTTGAATGACGTTTTAGGCTCAATGGCCAATATCCAAACATACCCAATATCAAGCCGATGTACCACCTCTATTACAAAGAAACAATATCAAGCCGATCTACTACCTCTGTTTCCCTAAATTGGTACAATAGGAGTGGTGTGGTTTCCAAGAAAAGTTAATTTATATGGTTGGTATTGAATTGATAAAGTGAAATAAAGTAGGGCTGGGACTTTGGAACCAAGAACCGGAGAACCGGACCGGACCGAACCGTTATGACCCGGTTCGGTTCGGTTCCAAAATTTATTAGTTATTTGTTAACGGTTCGGTTCCTATTTTTTATTAACGGTTCGGTTCTCGGTTCCTGAAAAAATTATGTACATGGAACCGTTAAGGAACCGTTATATATAATAATTAAAATTTTATATATTTCTTATTAGTATATATATTTTAATGTATATTACTTATCTATTTTTATATTACATTCACTATTTTAGTTTAGTTATTTAACTATTTAAAATTATTTTTCATTTTAATCGGTTCTCTTGGGCTTCTTTAGTGAATATCTTGTTTTATTTTATTTACTAAAATTTGCAGTTTGGTATGTATTTATGTGTTAAACTCAACTATTGATGTTTGAAATGATGTTCAACATATTTGTATTGTAATTTCAAACGTTGAATGTCTTTTTGGCACAAATTTAATCGTGATCTGTAAGAAATTTTTTAAAGAATAGGAACCGTTAAATAACAAGAACCGAACCGTTAAGAATGGTTCGGTTCCTTAACGGTTCTATAAAATAATTTATAAGAACCGAACCGTTAGTAAAATTTCATATTTTCAAACGGTTCCACATATTTTGCCTAGGAACCGAACCGGTCCCAGGCCTAAAATAAAGTAAGAATTATTTAGAAGTACAAAAGTATTATGGAGTATCTAATTTGTTATGAGGCAATTTTTGTGGAACAGATTAAAAAGAAAAGCTGAACAATCTTACCACGATGGAAGATGTACTATTCAGGCATTGACTTCGGAGTACTATTCAAGTGTTTTGATATTTTTTGTGGGTAAATTCAAGTGTTTTGATTGAGCTTTACCCGGTTGAATTCAATATTATTTTTTCCCAATTCCTGCCTTTTGGGTAACATTAAAATTAGTTGAATTAGACTATTTTGTTGAAATTTATGAAGTTCTAACTGAAGTGATTGACATGAAAATAATTCTAACTTTATTTATTTTGATTATTACACAATTCGATTTTCACTTATGTAAAGCCTCACTTGAATAAGGTGTCGTTATCCCTATCCTCAGTCTCAGGGCCGTCTGCTATCATTTTTTCCTTCCCCAAATTTGTTTCCATTTCAAGGACCATCTTGAACATACCTTTTTCTCCGCGGACTCACCTTCATGAAAGAAGCGAAATTATAGTCTGTATCTTCTCCATGCATACACTCCGATTGTATTTGCGCTCTTTTCTCAGTAAATGCACATAAATACATAATGCCATAATGGCTTCCACGGTTGATCTTAATTCTTTTTTGGCTAATTTATCTTTGAATTCCTTTTTTTCACTCATATTTCAATGGATTCTTTTCATTTAAGAGTTTTTTTACGCAATTAAGGTCAAATCACACTGAATTTCACATGGTGTATTAGTAAGATTCTTCTTTTTGTTTGGTTATTTGGAGTATTATTGTCGATATTGAATTATAGAGAGTTTTTATAGGGGTGTATTCATTTGGGACTCTTTAGGGCGTGTGTTGATTTTTCGGTGTATTTAATTGAGACATTTTAAAACACTTTTGAAATCCTAAAATGTTCAGGTGTATTTAAAATGTCAAAGAAGCTTTGGATTTCTTTCGAACTAGGTATGTTCTTTTGAAAATTGTCCTAAATATGACTAATGAGTCCCTTTTTTTATTTATCATAAGGCGCTTATATCATTAAAATAACATTCGGCGTGACTCACGCCGCGTGAGTACAAGAACTTGAAAGGACCACATGTAACTATCTGCCCTTGGCCGAGACTCTGAGTTTTTTTTTTGAAAATGCCGAGACTCTGAGTTAATCACCCAAAACAAAGCAATATAACTCGCTAGATCTAATTTGGGCAAATTAAAGCAAACGACGTTTACCGCTGATCTCTCATCCCCCAAATCCAATGCAAAAGTCTTACAACATAAAATAAAATAACAACCAAACACAAACGATTGAACATGGAAATTAAAATGCAGAAACGATAAATAAGCAAACTCTAAATCGCGTCGATCAACCCTTGGAGGTGGTTCTGGGGAGGTCGAACCCTCGCAACAATTGTTGAAGCACCAAAGCGGTTTTCCTCTGACTTGACCGCCTCTTTTTCATCATTGTTGTTGCACCAAAGAGATTTCCCCAGACGCCAACCGGATGCCAGTAGATCTTGGAACCCCAGAAGACTAATATTCCGGTCCGTAATCACGACGCCGACCACCTGGAACACCACCTGCTCGTCGTCATCCTCCATTAGCAAATTTCGAGCCCTCCCCTTCTCTCCTTCTTGGCCGAAAGTGAACCAGACGTGCCCAGTATCCGGAGCCCTACCGAAGCTTGAAACCTTCCTAAAACCCCAGAACCAGCTTTGCGATTTCGATTATTAATCACAAGCCAAGAAAACAAGCCGTTCTTTGATCGGAAAATCCAAAACGGAAAAGAACGTCGTTCTTCGATCGAAGAAATCGAAAACAGAATAAAAATGCGCACTAGGTTTTACCCTAGGAACGACTGTAGTGAATAAGAAGATTAAAAATCCCAATAGGACTAATGAGTCCCTAAAAAGCACAAATAGGATTACTATTTTTAAATTCCCTAAATAGGACTAAACATTTGATTTTCTACCCTAAATACTCCTAAGGGTATTAATTCATAATGAAATGCTTTAATTCATAATAAAATCATTAAAAAAAATCGCAAAAAATAACAAAACTGGAAAAAAAATTTAAAAAAAATAAAATAATTTTTTTTGAAAAAAAAATACAAAATAGTAGAAACTCATAAAAAAATGGACACCTTTCCCACCGCCTCCCGGCACCACCACCTCCGATCGGTGAAATTTCTGCCACCTTTAGTAAAAAATGCTATCTTTTTTCTGACAAATGCCAAGAAAATGACATTATTACTCTTTAATATTGCAACATTTTCATAGAATCTGCCATCATTATGGCCATCATTTAAAATGTTGGTAGATTTTTCTCCGCTGATGAGAGCTGGTGGTGTTGGGGGCGACACTGGTGGCGGTGTTTTTTTTTACGTTTTTTAAAAAAAATTATATTTTATTTTATAAATATTTTATTATTTTTGTGTTGTTTTTTTACGATTTTTTATTATTTTTTTACAATCTTTATCATTTTTTATGATTTTACTATTAATTAGAACATTTCAAAAGTCACAAGGTATATTTGTTCAAACACACATAAATAGTCCTATTGAGTACATTTAAAAAATGGAGTTCTATTTATGTAATTTTGCCACTTTTTAGCTCAATTTAGGGAATTGACTCATGTGCTTTTATAGTTAGATAGTTTTGGAAACTTCAAGGTGATTATATTGAAAAAATCCATTTATAGTAACTTACTACGTGTAAATGTATCATTATATGACATACTACGTAATACATATCTTCCACGCCTGAATGGATAGAAAAGGATTTGAAGTTTCACTTGGACGGTGCTTGGATGCTTCTGTGGAAACTAGTGCTCCCCTTCCTAAAGAAACTAAAAATAATTATCCACAGTGCAAATAAAAAAAAAAACTATACAGTGAACTAAGACCCCCCAATGCCCCCATCCCTTATCCATGAAATTAAATTCCCCAATTATTAAAATAAAAATAATGTACTCCGTAGTAAATAACTGTGGCATCGAGACTCGAGAGGCAAATCCTCCCATTTGTTTTGGAACAAGAATTAGGCATGAAACAAGTGTAGATGCAGCTGATGATGCATTACAGACTTGCGGTGGGGATTTCGCTAAATACGGAGTAATGTCTTTTTGTCAAATCTTTCTAACTTATTACGTAGTATAACATTTGTTGTTTGTTAAGGCCAACATTCTTGAACTAGGATGAGATTCTCAATGGTGGCTGAGTGAGCCAGTTGGGTTGATAGCTCATGTTCAATTTGTGATAGCCGCGGTGTAAAAGTTTCATCCAATAATTGACACATTGGTGGGAGACTGGGAGATAGAAGTTCGGATCTAAGATTAGTTTTATATTTTATGTGGGTTTAATGCACCAAATCCTCCTGTGATTTGGAAATTCGGCGCATTAGCCCTCTGTGATTTAAAAAATGCGTCAAACCCCCTTGTGTTTTAATTAATCATGTGCCAAATCCCTTATATGAACAAATTCAATTGTCAAATAAAAGAAAAATGATTAACATTTTTGTATGATTCAAAGATTTTGACATACGATAGTATTTATTTGCATATTCAATTAAAATATTAGGAAAAGTGATTTTCAAATCGTTAAATTTATTCATAAAGGGGGTTTTGTGCATGCTTAATTAAAACACAAGGGGGTTTGACGCATTTTTTAAATCACAGGGGGCTCATGCGCCGAATTTCCAAATCACAGGGGGTTTGGTGCATTAAAGACTAGAAAATCAAAATCTTATCATCATCCATTACACACATTATTACACGTGGGGTTTTAACATTAAAATTAGGAAAAATTCCTGAGATATGTCCAGTCATAGTGACTTGCATTAGTGACTTGTCCGCATGCGAGTGATCGCCTTACCTGGCACCACAACAACATCGATTAACTGATAGTGACACCGTTCTGACTTCCGATTAGTGACACTTACAGTCATAGTGCCATTTACATTAACCAATCCACCACACCCTCCAACCCAGCACCGCTTCCGTGGCTACC